GTACGTACGTTACGTTACTACGTACACACTACTACACTAGTAGTAGTAGTACGTACGTACGTTAGTTACGTTACGTTCGTCTCCTCTACTATATATAGAGAGAGAGAGAGAGAGAGAGAGAGAGGGAACGAATTGAGAATGTAAATTATTGGATTTCTTGTTTGCACATACGGCCTCGAGAAAAGTTCGAAAAAAAAAAAGCCCTATATTTTATAGGGTGCGGTTTGTATAGAGCCTAGGCTCTAAACAATCAAATTAGAACCTACTTTCAAATAGTGTAGATAAATGTGGTTTCAATACTCGAAATCTTCATGATAGTTTTAAAATATATTTTCAACTTTCTTTATAATAAAGTTTAAAGCTTCAAAAATAGTATAGATTGATCCATTTATGAAAACTTGAAAATATTGAAAATTGATGATCCAAAAATGTGTTACAAAATATATTATTTATGAAACTTGAAATCTATTTTTTTTCATGTATAAGCCGGGCAACCATAGCCGGAGGTTAAGACCAGGTTGGGCCCGACTAAAGTCTACATGACCCGGTCCTATTTTTCTTTGTTTTTTACTTTAATTTTTGTTTGATTTTATTTACCCCGGCCTGGTCCGGGGCCAACCATATGAGAATTAGGGCCGGGCTAGGGTCAGGCTCGGCCTATTGCTAACCGTAAGTAACCTCGGGCCTTTGCGGGAAGAAAGGGAAATTTGTCAAAATGCATCCCACTTACGAGTTGCTTAATATTTTACCCATCTTTACGAATTCAAAATCATGATTACGTGTATTTGACAGGCACTTTGAGATTAAAATTGCAAATCATTAGAGGAGAAAAGTGAAAAGATTTCATGCTCCCACGGGAACACGCTGCTTATTTCTCTCTCAAGTAAAATTCAAGCTACCCACAATTTTTGGATCCAAAATTTTAGAGATTCCATCTCTAGAATCTAGTGATCAGCCCCAAGAAAAAAAAAAAAGGTTCTTGATGTGCTTAATGAAAAATAACATCCCAAGGTTGAACAAGGACCGTCAAATTTTTTTGGAGGTAAAGATCTATATATATTCAAGAACTCAAAATCCAATTTTTTTTCTTCTTTAAAATAGTATTCTAGTGATACTTAAATGTATCCCAAATTTCGGATTAGTAAAATTCTCATAGGAACAGAGGGATTGTTGTACAAGATGTTGTATGCGCTCGAAATTAAATCCTCTTATTTGACATTAGAATTAGAAGTGTTGCTATTAAAAATTTTGGTTTACCTTTTAAGATATATAACAATATATTAACTAATTTGCCTTTATTCAAGATTGAAAGCCCTGAATAAGCAATGGCATTTTGATAATTAATTTTATTTAGTGACGACAAAAATTTGCCTAATTGCTTCAAGTTTAGCAACATAGAGCTATCTAATAATAAAAATACACTTGGACGTTCAAGATTAGCAACATATGAGTCACGTTTTTCAGTGTGATTCCATGTGCTAACTCTAAACAATCGATAGTATGTTTCTTGTAATTGCTATGGCCACTCAAGTGTGGCAAAATCACCAAAATGCTTTTGCCTATTTAGAGTTGCAATTACTGTTGTTAAATAATGATCATTTGATTTCTTAAATGATTTTATAAGATTATTTGACCATTAACTACTGGAAAAAGTTTATATAAGGGTGAGGCTCTAAACAATTAAATCAATGCATACCTCAAAAATTTACTCGAAGATGTTGTTTTGATGCTCAAAAATCTTTTAATCGATCATCTGGACCTCAAGATCTATGCATGAGAAAAATAGATGGAAAAAATTTATATAAAGATGCAACCTTATAATGCAGAACTACAGATGCACCTCAAAAATCCATCGGAAAAGGTAGTTTTAATGTTGAAAAACCCTTTGATTGATCATCTCGACATCGAGATGTATGACCATGAATTTTAAGTAGCAAAAATAGTGCATTTT